TGATGATAGCTTGGATTGCTCTGTTTGCAGTGATGGGTGTACTACTTGTGGCTCTACTCATTGCTCTCAATTTAACAGTATCAGTGGGTACACTCAATGGTCTATTGTTCTATGCTAACATTGTCAAGTTATACGAGCCAGTTTTTTCAAGGAAAGGAGCATTACCAGTCTTGAGTCAAGTCATATCATGGATTAACTTAGACTTTGGGTTTGAGATATGTTTTTACAATGGTATGGACAGTTATGCTAAACAATGGCTCCAGTTTGCTTTCCCTCTCTACCTGTGGATCATTATCATTATCATTATACTATTGTGTAGGAGATATGGTAAGATATCAAGACTGATGGGGTGCTCATGCTGTTCCTGTTTTATCTACACTCTTCCTTCTCTCGTATACTAAACTAGTACGTACTATTGTTATTGTACTACACAAGCGTGAGGTAACTCTTCACTGTACAAATGAGTCAGTAAGATCAGTTAGTTTATGGTATGAGGATCCTAATGTTGAATATGCTAAAGGGAAGCATGCTGGACTATTTGGATTTGCCCTATTGGTGTCTGTTTTTTTTGTCATACCATACACACTGTTTCTTTTACTCAATCCTTTTTATGAGAAGTATCTTTCAAATTTCAAACTCTTAAATAAATTTTGGAATCATTTCAAGCCTATTATTGATGCTTATAGTGGTCCAATGAAAGATGAGTATCGGTTCTGGCCTGGTCTACTGCTAGTGGCTAGGATACCAGTACTATTATCAGTTACTTTAGTTGACAGTTTCATTCAGTCACAGCACTTCCTATTGTCAATGCTATTGACAGTGTTAGTTATTGTGCTATCATTGAGTCATTGTTTTGGTGGAGTTTACAAGAAAAGAATAAACAATGTACTTGAAGTTTGGTTCTTGTTTAACTTATGTATCATGGTTGGTCTATCTGTAGCCTTTACTGATGACAGTAAAGTATTGATCTGGTATAATACTTGTTTATCTGTTTTTATTTTTAGTTTTATTTTGATTGTTGTTTATCATCTTTACCTGCAGTTATCACATATGAAATGTTATGATGCTCTAATTAAGAAGTTACTCAAGAAACAAGATGAAGATGATGAACCTCTTTTAGACATCACTGAATCACATCTAACTGTTGATCAACAAATGAAAGAAATTGTACCAAGTTCTACTGATGTTAGACTCAGTGATAGTCGTGAATCAGTTGTTGATTTGTTTTAATCATTATAGTCTTTAACTGTAATTAATCTATTCTTTATTATTTTTAGAATTTTTAGTTTACAATCTCATGAAGTATTGCATGACAGTGCATGAATCACAACAAGTGTTTTATTTACTCTCTTATAAACCACATTATACATTAATACACACACATATAATACATATAATTATATATGTGTATTATATATGCATATTATACACAGTAACATACATACACAGTAACAGTACGTATAGAGCTTAGCATAATAAATTAAATTCATGCATCATTCTGCTCCATGGTGTCTCTTATTAGCTCCTCCTCCTATACCTCCATTTGCCCCCTCAGTCTCCAGTTATACATGTACTTTTACAGCTGCATATCACATATCATAAACTGCAGCATGTTAAATTCAATGTACAAGTACATGTATTAAGTAATTTTGTCTACTTTAAATGGTTTAAGTCTAAATGGTTTTTTATTATTGATAATTATAATTATGTACCAAACTTGATAAAACCAGTCACTAAATGTCAATCGGAGGTAGGTGTGGTTATCTGATGTGTCGTATGTTGGCTCCAGGTCGTGGTTACCATAAGGTTTTGAAAGAGGTAAGTCTGTCTCGCTGTCAGCGGGTATGTAAGCATTGGGATGAGGTGAGGCTGTAGTTTAGACTCCATTGGGTAGCTCACGACCTTCATCTTGTAAGGACTGAGAGAGAGAGAGGGAGCGGGGAGACAGTGTATCAGTAACTGAGGTTGGGTGGGTTTGAAGGGGGCGTGGTTACCATAAGGTTTTGGAAAAGGTAAGTCTGTCCATAGGTATTATAATGATACCATGTTACTGGACTTTATCCCAATTTTTGAGCAACTTTAAAAATTGTGCAAGGAAGTATCTATCATTTATTGTGTAAGAATTATATTGCGAATCCTTCCATTAGAACCAAAGATACTAAGTTCTGTCAAAAAAATGTGAAAAAGAGGTACATTGTTGTTTCATGAGCCACACATAATTTAGTCAATACTGCATATGGATTTCAGAACAAACAAGCTACAGCTACTCATAAATGGTAAAGGAATGGCACAAATTAAGCACAATGTAAATAGCCTAATACCGCAGGCCATAGATATTAAATGAGTGGATGGCTTCAATGGAATTTTAATGTACTGACAGTAAATAAACAAAAATACCCTCAGACATAATAGAACAACAACAGTTTCATTATGCACTCTAAAAGGCAAAAAAGCCTTGCAGTGTACTATTATTATTTTGAAAAACAGCTTTTGAACTGATTCTTTTGTAAATCAATTGCTGCTTTTAATGCTATATAGATGATGCATGACATATTCAGCTACAAAATTCCTATGATATACAGTTTCAATGTTCCCCTTTGGGCTATATAAGGTACCATTGATACCGTCAAAGAATTGTAAACACTATAGGATCTTAATTGCTCTTGTTATAATGTGCATATGCATAGTCATTTCATTTCAAAAGTCATTTCAAAGATATAGAATACAAGCTGAAATGAATACTAAACTCAACCAAAGGCTAACTTAATCCAGTGACACAACTACATCTAATAGATTGATTTTGTTCATTTATGTCATTGACAACTTGAAATTACCATTGTCCTAGTAATTATGTCTTGTTCAACCTCTCTCCCTCTATCATCCTTTAGGTTAATAGTGTTGATGGATCATATTGTTCACAATGTGGGCAGCTCAACATGCAGCATTGTGTAAAGTACTCACTACATGTCATCAAGTATCTCTGTAACAAGAGTGTACTCTTTAAATCAATGGACCACTGACATACAGATAGACACTGTATGCATATACTGATTGTAACAAAATGCACTAATTCCTCAATGTCAGCTGTTCTATTTAGCATTTTGTGTATTGTGAGATTATTACTATTATTATTATTTAACGAAAAATTGAATCTGTAAACTATCACAACTATTATTTGGAGGATGATGAGTAACTTGTACATTAGTACAGTACTCATAACAGCACATGAAAAACTATTCCATGACTACTTATTAACCTCTGACTACCCAGGAACTTACTTATTACTGAGCCTCCCAGCTGTAAAACAAGATGAGACCAAGTTAAAACTATGGAATTGTTTATGCACTTAAAGCAATATAATGTTATAGTAGTACATGACATGTATAATTAGTAGTA